TTCATTCACATTCCTCTCCACAGCGTACTTGGACCTGTCATCACCCTACTGAAATTTGAATCTAACTTGGATGTGACAATGAAAATTGCTGTTTCCTCCAACAACACAAAATGTGTCAACCTTGACGTCCAAGACACCCATATCAAGGTCAACGAAATGAAAATACAGTTAATAGAGACGTACGTAACAGCTTCTATCCTTCTACTGAATCAATTCAAAAGTGTGTCAAAAGGCCCTGCTGCTGGGCCAGAGGAGAGCTGGTCCACCATAGTCCTCTAGACAATCAGGAAATGCTAGGAGAGCTATCAACATTCCTCTGTGTTCAACAACAGTCTTCTCACATCTACCTTCCAGCTTTCCTACTGATTCTATTTAAGGGACTCCTCCTATGTTTTCCCTAAAAGAAACCATGAGGCCACACGGTGAAAATCTCTCTGACGCTTTTGTGGGCCAGCTGCCTACCTCTCCTCTCCTGGGCCAACCAGAGATTCCAAGCCCTTCTGACTAGGTTAATAGTAGCCATTCTGACTAGGTTAATAGTAGCCATTCTGACTAGGTTAATAGTAGCCATTCTGACTAGGTTCACACTAGGAAGCTAGAAATGCTTCTCCCCATACATACCCGCTTTGACATTCGTTCCCTCCCTCTGTTATGCCCTACGCAGGAGTCACTGTAATTTCTCTAACTAGAGCTTAGCAAGTTCTGAATTCAGATCCACAGCTACACCAAGACCACAGACAGGTCTATGGACAAATGTCTTCTGGTGTCTGAAGGATGGATCCATCCAAGGAGACCTCTGGGCCAGGGGTCCTGTGCTTTGGCCAGGAACCTTTGCATCTTCCTTAAAGACTAAAGACCAAGGCAGGAGCTCAGGACTCACCCACACATTGAGAACCGAAACATCATCCTGACTCCTTCATCAGTGAGTCGGTCTGTCTAAGACATGCACAAATCTAGAAACCTGACGATCACTCATTTCAACACATATGTCTTTCACAGTGTCACAGGAACTGTGCCTCTCCCCGTGCCTCTGCCCTTGAATAATATCGTCCCAATACTGCTGACAGCAGAAATGAATGAGAATGTAAGTCCAGGGAAGTGGGAGGTTCCCTCAGAGACCTGAATCACTGGGGGACTAGGAAAGAATCATGCAGCTTTGTAAATGACCAGCTGCTGGGACAGATTTAGGAACAAGGGACCCCTGGAGCCCAAAGGCCAATGTGGCCAGGAAGCTCCTCTGAGCATATGTCCAGCAGCAGAATTAGAAGACACAAGATTTGGGAATAGTGGATGACTTCTGCCCATAAGAGGTCAGGAAACTGGGCTCGTTGCATGAGTTAGCTGTTTGAAACCTAGGACTTATGCAGGGATGCTTGGCTCAGTCTGGGAGGAGGGGACTGGACCTGCCTGGACTGAGTCTATCAGGTCGATCCCAGTCCTCGGGGGAGACCTTGATCTGGAGGAGGTGGGAATGGGAGGTGTGCTAAGGGGAAAGGGAGGGGGGTGGGAGAGGAGAGAACAGGGGAATCTGTGGCTATTATGTGGAACTGAATAGTACTGTAAAATAAATAATAATAATAATAATAATAATAATAATAATAATAATAAAGAGGTCAGGAAACTAGCTCAGGAAAGGGGGAAGACAGGAGGAGAAGAGGAGGAGGTTGACTGATAAGACAGACTAATGATGCTCCCTCAGCTAAGCTAACCTGTGGTGACTTCACAGCTACAGAAATCCAACTCCTGTGCCATCGTCCTCAAGGACTTCAATGACTGCAAGAATGGTGAGTACTTCCTGGGTGTCCTTTGTCAACAGTCTCAAGTTGCCCGGGGACCTTGGGAAACTTTATAGGGGACATACCACAGAGATTGGGCCACTGAACGTCTACCTAGACAGTCTTTCCTTCTCCAAGCGGGTTTTGACACCTCAGATTAAAAAAAAAAAAAATCTACATCCTTGTGTGTAAACCCAAAGCTCACGGCATCCTTTGAGATGTGGAAGCATTCAGGGCCGCACCTTGTGTCTGGCAGACAGACAGAAGCAGCTGTCTATACTGGTATATCGGGCAGACCAGTTGGAGGCACAACAGTCATCAATGCCTGTCCGGGCTCTCCCCATTCCTCCCTCCCTCTCCTCCACAGCTACCGGCTTATTCAAGTACCAGGTTCAGAGTACCAGGATCTCTTCCAAAGGACTTTCCATTTTCTACTGTGTAAGTACTCATGGCATTGCGTTGACACCTGGCTGAAGGCTGGAAGCACACCGGAGCCCAAACAGAGATCAGAGAGTCAGGACAGTGAGATGATCTGCTCAGTTCTCACCCTCATCTGTCCTGGGGTCAGTCTCCTGAGTGCCCATCAGGACATGGTCAGCTAGTGCTCTTCTCCATTCCAACCCACAGGACAATGGCCTGTGAGGAGCTCCCACAGAGAGAACCATAACTTGTCTCAGCTCAGCTCTCCATTCTCAGTGGACTGTACACAACACATCAGATAGAGTCATCTCCTCCAACCACCCACTACCCAAAGTCGGGGAGGCAAAACCAGGCTGGGACAAGCTTGAAGAGAGGGGACATAGTGAGCTCAGCTTCTCTTCTGGAAATCCATCAAAAAAGCTGCATTCAGATGCTGAAGCACAAATCTATACACATTCAGGATGCTGTTCCTCAACAACCTACAACACACACCAAGGACAGCAGCTGAGGGTCAGAACCTCCTACACACGAAGCCATGCTTCCCAGAGAGTATGAATCGCTCTAAAGTCAAGTAAAAACTAAAGGAGCAGTGCACGGGACACGAGGAAACCCCAGGGGTGTTAGGCCTAAGTCTCCCTCCTCTGTTCCTGTCTGAATCTTCCAGCATCCTCCAAAAGGATTATAGCTCAGAAATATGAGGGTGGAATGCATAAAAATAGAAAGAATGAAACGGACAGATAGACAGACAAGCAGACAGACAGAAAAATTATTCAAGAATAGCCTTAACATCTACGAACTTATTCCTCCATGTGATGGTTTATGAAACAAAGGAGGGAGGGAGATAGGGAGAGAAAATGAGGATGGAGACACAGGGGGAGACTGGCCCTCAGTTCTGCAGAACTGGGACAAGGAGAGGAAGCAATATTAAACACACATCTTCATGAAGTCCATCATAAATGACCGACTCACCTGCAGGTGAGGATTCCTGGCCTCTGGGGAAAGCCTGGCTGCCCTGAGCCCTGCTGCACTGCCCTGCACAGTGAAGCCAGGCCACAAGGCCTTCCCTCTCCTTCCAGTCTCCTGATCTTACACAGCTGTCTCCTGCTTCCCCTCCTTAGGTTGAATTCAATTTGGGAAAAAAACCAGTGCCTGTGCCTGGAGGTCGGCTGCCTCCAGATCCCAAAAATGCCACCATTTCTGTAACTATGTCCACCTCGATGTTGAAGATGCTTTTAATATATGTAGCCAAGCAGAGCTCTGTCAAGGTGAGTGTCCTCCATCAGCCTCAGGTCTACACTACTCTGGACGACAGCTGAGACTGTCAATTCTGAGGGAAAAGGTAGAGATATAAATGAGATGTGAAGGTTGTTTCATTTTTTTTTTAAGTTTCTTGAGACAAGGTTTCCTTGTGTAATCCTAGCTGTCCTGAAACTACCTCTGTAGACTAGACTGGCCTTGAACTCACATAGATCTGCCTGCCTCTGCCTGCCAAGTTCTAGGATTAAAGGTGTGTACCCACTGCCCAGCAAGCTCTGAAGGTTCTTGCAGAGATGGATAAGACCAATGCCACAGGACACACATCATTCTTAGTGATCAGGAAGGAGCCTTGATGTCATCAGTGGGGCTCAGAAGCAGGCAAGGGGGTGGGGAGTGTAAATATTATGAGTGGGTCACCCACATGCCAAGCACATGGCCATGTGTCCTTAAATGATCAGTGCAAGTAATCCTCAAAACACAGCTCAATGTAAGAACACTTCTTCATTTTACTGATGCCCTCAAAGACTCGGTGAGTGGCCAAGTCACAGTAGCAGCAAGGGTACCAGGCTTATCTACCCAAGAGATACTTTAATATGACCCCCACTAAAGATGGAAGAAGTCTCTCCAGTGAGAGGAGCTCCCATGCTCTAGGTACCATGATCAGGTGACTTAGCCTATGAGGAATCTTCACCACAGAATCCATAAGAGTTCAGCAGAGAGTGTCCAAGACACAAGAGCTGAGAAACACACTTCTACTTTGAAAGGCTTGATAGAAAGCAACATTTCACAAGGTCTCTGCCCCAACCTCCATCCACTCAATTCAACAGAGGCATGGGGTGAGGATGCACATGTCATTTCTTTTTCTCAGCTGCACCAGCACCCAGCTGGGTGACCAAGCCTACAGAAGCAAAGTCAGTATCTCAACCAAGCCTGAAGGACACATGCCTGACTCATGGTACGGCACCTCCCATCCTCTTCCTCTCACTGACCGAAGTCTTCTTCACAACAGATGAATGACCTGGGTGCCAACATCACCAAAATAGCCTATGCCTTCCAGAAAGACAAACTCCTCGGAGTCACTTATGAGGTTGAAATAACAAAGGGCGGTGAGGACTTTGCCACTGGGAAAACGGTGAGTGCAGAGAAATGAAGGTCCCCTGAGTTAGAAGAAGAGCAAGGACTTGGATGCATGAGATAAGCTGTCCCCAAAAGCCTGAGGCCCAATATACCTTGGAGTCCCCATAGCAGAGGAAAGGCCACACCCCCATGTTTCATTCAAACTCTCTTGTGTCATTTCAGAAATTGATCATCACTCATAACAGCAAGATTTCAAAAACTAAACTGACACCAGATATCAAAATCAAGAGGTACTACAAGCTATAACTGCACCATCCTCCCGAGGACGTAAAGACCCTGTCAAACACATATGCATGATGGGTTCTGGGAAAATATTTCAATAATTACAGGAAATGGGGGATTTAGGCCTACATGCTCTCATTCATGTGTCCATTCTGCTCAGGAGCTCCTAGTCTACAGCTGATTCATTCCAAATCAACTGAGATAAGACTTGAACTCTAAACACCAGTGGTACTGCTATCATGAACCTAACATTTCTCTGTTCTTTGTCGCTGACAGGTCTGAGAACACAGTGGAGCCCCCTGAGGCTGTAAGTTGGTGTGCCCTTGTATACTGACCCATGATAGGTGGGAAATCACGTCAGTGCCAGACACTCTGACTCAGGAATGGGGAAAGAGAGGCCCATGGGTAATAGAGCACACACCTACTGTGGAACAGAACTTCAAGTTCCTACTGGTCTCTGGAGAACTCTTAAACCATAGCTGCCCATGCTCACACTCACATCTGCATTGGGGGTTACACGGAGCAAACATACAAACACATACATGGAAGACAGAAGATACTGAAAGTCTGGTGCCACATGCTGGAGAGAGGCCCACAGTGGGGCCCAGAGATGGGCTTAGCAAATGTGTACCTTTAGCAGCCTGAGATACAGGGAGCCAATGAAGCAGCAGACTCAGGGAACATTCAGGTTAGCAAACCTTCCATCTCTACTTAGCAGGGAAGAGACAGGATGTTCCTGGCTCTGAACTAAGTGATAAAGACTGTGTAGGATTGACCCCTGACCTCATACAAATTTTGACAGCCAAACACAGTAGTTTATGCCAAGATCTGTCCCTGGATGTTAGAGAGCAAAGTTTAAGGAGTGTCCTCTCTGTGCACACAGTGGGGTGTGTTTACAGTGGCACCCTAACCCAGTTCACAGAAGCCTGGCTTCCCACAAAGAGGGATGAGCATTGAGAAGGAAAAGGAGGTGTAGAAGCAACACCATATGCTCTCAGAGGAGGGTCAGATGAGGAGAAGGGAGCATCATAACATGGAGGGACCCAGACCTATGTCCTCAAACCATATCACAGGAGGCAGCAGAGACCACCAAGTGCAAGGCTCCCAACCTTTGACCTCCTAGTCGCTCCTGAAGTCCCAAAGCCACCTGCTGGAACTGTAGCAAGGTGGCAGTAAACAGGACAATGCCTCTGCTCATGGAGCCACAAGGGCAACAAACCCCAATAGGAACCCCAAAACTCCCAGAGACGGGAGCCCTAAGGATACAGGGAGATCCATCTCTATATTCGACCTTGACATGTGACAGACCTGTCCAATAGAGAAAGCCCACAGAAACCTGCAGCCTGAGCTAATCCTCCTGGGTCTTGCGGACAATTGGAGGGCTGCAAGGCTCTACTGAAAATGTCCTCCTGTGTCCTGCAGAAGGAAGAGGTGGAAGTCATTATAATTGAAGTCATGAAGAAGGTCTGGTCTTCCTTCAATGGTATGTGGAATTAATGATGCTGACAGCTGGCACAGTGAGTGCCCATGAGACGTGCTGGGCATGACACATGTGGGACACTAAACCCTAAGCACAAGGCCACCCTGTCACCTGCTGGGTTGTCCATCACCTTCTCTATCAGAAATGACACCATCATGGTGGTATAAAGGGAACACAGATCAAATTGCCTCCTCTGGAGCTCCCAGGAAGTCCTGTCCGCAGGTACCTGGGACCAAGACCACCAGGGCATACACTTGGACAGTGGACCTGGGTCACCCACCCCTAAAGACATTAGGGTTGTGACACTTGAAGGTGATATCATAACCTCTTTGGACAACAACGATGATGGTGCCACAGACCAGGAATACACGTTCCTGGTTGGTTCTACTGTGCTTGTCAATAGCATTCTGATCTTCAAATGTTTGTGTCACCCCCAGTCAGGTCCTGCTGTGAGGCAGTGTGTCATTTCTCATCAATGGTAGGAGACCACCAGGTCCCCACCTGCTTTGGGGCCTTCCTTCCCCTACACCGTATCTTGCCTCCATTCTATAGGCTGGGGATGGACAGCATTCATGACACCGTATTGAATGTGTGTGGCAGTGACTCCTCCTAGGGCCACATACAGGTCAGAGATGCCAAGTGTGGCTGTGGTCACACAAGCCACCCAGGTTCTCATGTCCCTTAACTGCTGTCACAAGATGGTACTTCCTTATTTCAGAAATGTTTAAACAAATGAATGTTCCGGAAGGAGTGACTACATTTGCCCTAAAGGATGCCAATGTCAGACCGCTGAAATCGGTAAGAAACCGAAATACAACTCTTCCTTGCTCGTTTGTCTTCCTTCGCTTTGCCTCAAATACAGGAGCTCGCACAGATTCCCAATCCTGCCTGTACTTATGACCAGTGTGAAATTAACCCAGAGAACAGCAGCTTCTCTCACAGGACTCACACCTTAGGCTGTGCCTGGCCCCACACTTCCCTGCATCCGGGCCCTCATCAATTCCTAGAGGGTCCGAATGACAGAAAGCAGCACTTGCTTAGGCTGGCTGTTCATGTTCTCATTCTTTCCTACCCACCCTGTCAGGGCCAGGGAACCTGCACAAGCCAGCCTTGATCAGGGCACCGATCAGATGGGTGACATCTGATCGACAGCCACAGTGACAAGAATCACATCCCGCAGCAGTTCTGGATAATAGTGAAAGTGTAGCTACTGACGGGCAGCACTGTGCAGGGCCAGCAGGTGGTTCACCCAGGATCCCGTGACCCCAGAGTTGGTGCCTGCTGTCTCTGGGTGGACCCCGACTGCATCCACACGGATCCCCTCCTGCCAGAGGCTTCCCCTTCAAGCTCCTTCTCTCCTAACCTAAGC